TTTTTGTCCTTAGCGGCGGACGGAACTTCGCTCGTGCCGGTGTGCCTCCGGTTTGACCCTGGGGCGGTGGCCAGCCACCCCGTGGGTCGGTGTTTTGTGGAGATCATTTGCTGAAGCCGGGTGTTCACCCAAGCGCTTGGGGCCCCGCTATCGGCGGCCTCGTCCGTCGCTGCCGCACGAGCCGCCCGCCTGCCGCGTTGCTCTCGCCAGCCCGCGATCTCTGCTGCTTCCGCGTTTGCCACCCCTCTTTGGTTATCGATCGTCCTTGATTTCCTTCGCCAACTACTCCCTCGAAGGCTTGCCGTGGTGTGGGTGAGGTGCCGCGCGTATTACATTGCATAAAAAAACAAAAGAAAGTAATCAAAATGCGGAAACGCGATTAAATACGACCCCTGGAGATCTCGTCGTTGCCTCCCTGGTCCGTCCCTGGGCGCAAAATTCCGCGCCTTGTGACGGCGGCGGGGCGCCGCGACGGTGCGGCGAGCCGCAACGTCACAGTACATAATGAAACATATTATATATTCTCTATTAATTTCCTGAATACACATATTTTATGTCATCTAGTAATACATAAAATGGGTCTCCTCCAATTCTTTTTATTGTATATCGCCACAAATATTCACACAGATGATCGACTAACTTATCTTGTTTAATACCATCTCTACTTAAACGAGCTCGTAAAGCATGCCACGAACCCATGTGACAACTCGTCTCGCGTGAAAAGTGTATGCGTGGAGGCAGTGGGTTCCGCCCCCCTGCGGGTAGCTCCACTATTGTTAAACTAGACACATAATGTATCTTCAAAGTACATGCGTGGGCTCTCCACTGCTTTAAATTTTTCATTCACTGCTTTAAAAGATTTTCCTTTGTTCATACATGTACTATTTCCACATATATATATTAGTCATTTATGCCTTTTAATACTCAAAATAACTTCTACATTTCTCACATTTCTTTTGTTAATAACTTCTGAATAAACAACAAGCGCGGGCTGAAATCTTCTGAAGGTCACTCAGGAGGATGACCTTGAAACATACTAAAATTTCAAGGTCATCCAAAGTGACCCCCTCCATGTACACAATTACCCATATTTTATATTAAAAGAATACCATTGACAAAATTTGATATATCTCAGAAAATTCTTTGATTCGTTTATGAGCTTTTTTTCATGTAATCCAATTATTCTGTCTCTATCTGTTTAATGTAAATATAAAAACGTGTATAAAGTGTACAGAATTAAAATATAATTGTTTGGCTTCCTCATTTAGGAAACTTTTTAAGACTTTTGTTTGGCGCTTACCAAACTGTAGATAGATGCATGTATCATACTCATTAGTTTAGTCTTGTTCTTACTCGTTGTACATAGTAGTCTTTGCATACCTAGTATTAAGTATTTCGGTGACTCGCGCGAAACGTCGGCGGATCGCGATCAACGCGGAATCGATATTTGAGCGACTCACCAATCGGTGCTGCCCTCGCTCACCCCACGAGGGCATCCGCCTGAAGAACAAGTACTCGCTCGCGACACTGTTCTAGGGCCGCGAGCACTCAGCACTCATCGTTACGACGTCTCGGAGCACAGAGGCTTTCGCTAATATTCGGAGTCGCGAGATCACCAACCCGCTCCCTGATAGTGCGATCGCCTTCTTTCTCGGCCTGCTTGTTTGCTGCTTTTATCTGCTTCCTCCTGCTTGCTTGCTACCTGCCTTTGCTTGCTGCCTGCCTTGCATTTGCCTTGCTTGCTGCCCTGCTTGCGCTGCTGCACGAGCCCGATCGTGACCGAGAGACGAAGCATCCAGGAGTCGACGACACAACGAACGGTGAGTCGCATTTGCTTAACTTAATTTGCTTTGGGGAGACTTTACACACACCCCCTGGTCCTTCGAGCTTTGCTTTATCGCAAATCCGGGTACGGCTCTACCGCCCCCCGAGCATCTGGTCCTTCGAGCCGAATCGTCATATCTTCGCGATTAGTTTATTGCCGCCGCCCTTTCGCGTGTCTTTTCATTGTTCTAAGTCACCGAATCTTGTGTTCTGTAACGCATAGTGCAATAGCGCGTGGCCTTGCGGGTCTCGCAGGATCTCCCGTTTCGCAACGCTCGCTTCGCGAAGAGAATACTCGCGTAGCATCGCGCAATCGGCCATTAGCCATCTGTAATTTACGCGAATTCGCTGATTATTTGTTCTCGCATTAACGAGGTGCAATAACGCTCGGCGTGCTGACAACTCGTGTCTCGCGCGGTATCTCTCGTGCAACGCTCGCTTCGCAACGGGAATACGCGCGCGAACTTCGTTCGTCATAGCACGGGCCGCAGCCGTTAGTCGCCTTAAAATCGATTCCGCGCTCGACGCGGTAATTAGTCGCCATATAATTGGCTAGATCGTAACCGAAATATTCGGTCGAATATCCGAGTATTCCGGGCCAGCGATACTTTTGCATCATAGACAACGGCCGTGGCCTTCGATCACGGGCCGGTCACGTGCGCATTGTTTTTCCGTATAGTCTCGGGCATCGCTCGTGTTTTCGTCGTTGCGAGGTGACGTACAGCCCGATCCAACACTTGTATTATCCCGACATTCGTGATCCGTGCGAGAGTACCATCGCTCGAGAATATTATTTCGTCGATTGAGAATATTTGCCTTTCGAGTTTCTGCGACGCGTGTCTTGACGTCCGCAAGTCGGATCGCATTTTTGTTTATCGCGCTAATCCGGCGGCTAGTATTCTCCACGTTCAACTCGAGGAATATTACCGAGAATATTCCCTCGTGACTTTGCGCGAGCATCGAACGGAACAGTCCGTTATCCCTCACCTTGGCGACCTGACTTTCGTGTTTGTTTTTGCCGGGTTTCGATATTGTTGGTTCGAGTTGCCATCGCCTCCAATTACCTATTCGCCGTCCTTCCTTTGCTCTTAGCTTCGTCTGTCTGTTGTGGACGACCCCTTTGTTACATCATGTCGAAAAACGCATATGCTCGTTGCGAAGTATGCAATCGGCGTATGCGAGAAATACACGACCTCTCCCTACAAGCCGCAACCGACGCGGCAATCCGAGCGACCTTCCTCGCTCGCTACTCGAGCGTAGCGAAGATCGCGGACGATTTTTAGGTCACCCACCTGAAGGTCATCCAAGAAGCGGCGGACTTCGATGTCGAGGACGAAATCCGAGCCAGTTTCGATAAAATGCATTACGCCGTAAAGAGTCGCTATCATCATGAAACGGGCGCGCCACTCGGAGGCGCGCCGGCACCGCCCTCGTGTCAGGCCTCGGTGGTCAAGTTGCCTAAGATCCCGCTACCGCAGTTTTCCGGCAACCTCACGTTGTGGCCTTCCTTCATCGCGTTGTTCAACGCGTCGATACACAATCAGCAGATTTCCGCGATAGAGAAATACCAGTATCTGTTAGTCTCGCTCAAAGGGGAACCACTCAACGTGGTGAAAAACCTGCCGTTTTCCGAGGAGTACTATCTGATCGCTTACGACTCGCTGGTAGATCGATACCGGAATAAGAGAAAGTTAGCGGACCATCACTTGAATTCGATAATCGAGGCAAAGCCATTGAAGGCGGAGTCGGCCGAGGCTCTTCACCACTTATTAGATACGTTTACCGAGAACACGCGCGCGCTCGCATTGATGAAGTTCCCTACCGATTCATGGGACTTTATCCTACTGAAGTTTTTGTTAGACAAGCTTCCTCGTTCCCTTCGGGAAAAATTCGAGTCTGCTCACCGGGCTGAGGAGATACCGCGATATACTCAACTCACGAAATTTCTAGCGGAACATTGTCAGGTTCTCGAGGCCGTCGCGGGCCCGTCCTCCAAAACCAAGTCCACGCCGGTCTCTTCGTTCGTGACTAACACGGCCGATTGCCCCGTTTGTAAAAAGCCTCACTACGTGTCGAAGTGCTCCCAGTTTTTGAAACTCTCGCCGAGAGAGAGGCAGGCTAAGGCTCGCAACTTAAAATTGTGCCTCAATTGCCTGCGCTCAGGGCATGGCATGAAAAATTGTCCTTCCGCATGGACATGTCGGTCCTGCGGAACAAAGCATCATACGCTTCTGCATTACGAGCAAAGCTCCAATACTACTCCTAAGACCGAACCCATTGGCGCGACTCCTGCCGAACCGGACGCCGTACCCGCACCTCAGTCGGAGGATGCGCCGATTGTAACAATGACTAGCCTAGCCAATAGAATCGTCCTCCTGTCCACCGTACGAGCCGAGGCGATAGACGTGCGTGGCAATGCGTTCCCCGTACGCATATTGCTGGACAGCGCAAGTCAGGCCAATTTCATTACCGAGGGCTGCCTTCGGAAGGGCGGCTTTCATCGCACCAAACACAGTGCAACCGTGTTGGCGATAAACGAAGCTAGGGCGGCCACGATGAGGGGCCTCACCTCCCTCGTGATCCGCGCGCGCGGTCACGACGACACTCGGTTCTCGATAGAGGCTACGGTTTTCCCGCGCATAACCTCGCCGCTGCCTAATGACAAGGTGGAGGTCCAATCGTGGAAACACTTGAAGGGATTGCCGCTCGCGGATCCCGCATATTACGTGCCCGGCAGTGTTGACATCCTCTTAGGGGCGGACTCGTTTGTGTCGATACTACGAGATGACCGTCGTAAGGGGGAAAAGGGAGAACCCGACGCCTTCAATTCAGTCTTCGGATGGGTACTAACGGGCGCGGTATCCTCGTCAGTCCAATCAACACCCCTGCTGTCATTCGCGACTACGCTCGAGTCGATCGAGACATCAGTGGGTCGCTTTTGGCAATTGGAGGAGGTGCCGGAGAACGCTTCTTGTTCGGACGAGGATTGACGCTGCAAAGAGATCTTTGCCCAGACCACGTATTGTGACCCTTCGGGTCGTTTCGTGGTCTCGTACCCGTTCGTGTCGGATCCTCCTACATTCGTCGGCTCGCGGTCCATAGCGGTTAGTCGTCTCCGCGCACTAGAACGTCGATTTAAATCTGATCCGGAGTTCAGAGTTGGTTACAATAGTTTCATGCAGGATTATCTCGATAGCGGACACATGGAGGTAATTCGCAATCCATTCCCGTCGGATGGCCACATTTATTATTTACCGCACCACGGTGTATATAAACTCGATAGCACTACCACTAAGTTGCGGGTAGTGTTTAACGCGTCCTCGCGCTGCTCGAACGGTCTGTCGATCAACGACACCCTGCTCAGCGGTCCGAAGCTGCAACAAGACCTGCTCGCCATCCTGCTTAGGTTCCGCGCCGAAGCGATCGCTCTAACCGCGGACGTGAAGCAGATGTTTCGCCAGAATTGGATAAGCCCGGAGCAATGCGACTACCAACGTATCGTTTGGCGCTTCTCGGAGTCGGACCCCATCCTAGACTATCTCCTCAAAACCGTTACGTTCGGCTTTACCGCCTCCCCGTTCTTGGCGATCTATTGTTTGCTCCAGTTAGCTCATCAATACCGCGAGAAATATCCTCTAGCGTTCGCAGCCCTACTCGAGGCGCTGTATGTGGATGACGTCGTGACTACGTTCGTACGGTGGAACAGGCTCGTGCACTCCGCGACCAATTGCTATCGCTTCTCCGAAGCGCCGGCTTCGAGCTTAGAAAGTGGTCGAGCAGCCATCCTGCCGCGCTGGAGGGCCTCGACACGCAGTTATGTAGCCAATCAATGTTAGATTTCGAGTCAAGCGAAGATCAATCTCAGAAGATATTGGGCCTTCGGTGGCATTCACAATCTGACAGTTTCGGGTTTCAAGTCAACGCGTTGGATCGTGAGTGCACCAAACGCACTATATTGTCGGAAGTAGCGCGCATCTTCGACCCCTTGGGTTTTCTGGCCCCACTCACCTTTACCGCGAAGTGCTTAATTCAGCGTCTGTGGACCCTTAAATTAGATTGGGATGATGAGCCACCGATGGACATTCGTCGCAGTTGGAACCGTTTCCAGACGGAGCTCGGCGTGTTATCCTCCCTTCGCGTTCCTCGCGCGTTTAACTCGTGCCATGTAGTTCGTTGCGAGCTCCACGGGTTCTGCGATGCCAGCGAGTTGGGGTACGGAGCCGTGATTTATCTGCGAATCGTTACGCGCGACGGCGTCGTGGTCCGCTTACTGTGCGCCAAGTCTAAGGTCGCCCCGCTTCGCCCCCTCACCATTCCCGGTCTGGAGCTCTGCGCGGCTCTGTTCTTGTCCAAATTAATCGCGTACGCCCGGCGCATCCTCCGCGGACACATTGACATTGACGACGAGTATGCTTGGACGGATTCCGAGGTCGCCCGGGCCTGGATCTGCTCAGCACCACAACGGTGGAAGACTTTTGTTAGAAATCGCGTTGCCCTCATTCAGGACAACGTGCCGGTCTTAGCTTGGGGCCACGTCGACACGGAGTCCAATCCGGCGGATCATTGCTCCCGAGGACTTTACCCTCGTGATCTGGTGGCCAGTTCGATGTGGTGGGCGGGCCCTGAGTGGCTTGTTCGCTTCGAACCCCGAGTTGAACCTTCCCACAGTTCGGAAACCCCTCCGACCGAGGAGGAGAAAATCGTATCGCTCGTGGCGCTCGATCCGCCTGACGCGGTACATTCATTGCTAGAAAGATTTTCTTCAATCGAGAAAATTTGTCGAATTATAGCATACATTCTTAGGTTTGTAAATCACTTCCGTACAAAATCGGCTCCCACGACTTTGGCCATAGATCAGCTCGAACTGTATTCCGCGTTACTAGTAGTTGTAAAGAGTGTACAGGCGGATGCTTTCCGCGATGAGATCGATCGTCTTCAAAGCGGGAGAAGGCTCCCCAAGCCCCTTCTCAAGCTCGCTCCCTTCCTTGATCCTGTGGGTATTTTCAGGGTGGGCGGCAGGCTTGCTAAATCCGGATTGACATTCGAGAACAAGCACCCTGCCTTACTGCCCAGTAAACATAAGCTCACGGATCTCGTTATCGAACATGTGCACCGCACGAACCTGCACCCTGGTCGGCGCACGCTGCAATACCTGCTCACGCAACATTATTGGGTCCTCGGGGTGCATCGCGCTATCCAACGCGTACTCTCGAGATGTCATCGATGTTTCCGCGTAAATCCACACACTTCCCAGCCTCTCATGGCGGATCTACCGGCCGATAGGGTCCGACGGGCCAAGCCATTTTCGATCAGCGGCGTTGATTTCGCGGGACCGTTCAACATAGTTACGCGACAAGCCCGGGGAGTCTCCTCCTTCAAAGTATACGCGTGCCTTTTCGTATGCTTTTCGGTTAAGGCGGTGCACCTGGAAGCCGCCTTCTCGTTGTCCACGGATTCCTTCCTCGCTGCGCTGCGACGCTTTGTGGCCTGACGCGGACGCTGCTCGCTTCTCTATAGCGACTGCGGCACGAATTTTGTAGGGGCCGCGCGGGAGCTAGAAAGCCGCATGAGCCTCGCAGCGGAGCGAGAGAAGATCAAATGGTCCTTTAATCCTCCCTCAGCGCCTCCTCCCACTTCGGGGGCCTCTGGGAGGCGGGAGTCAAGACTTTTAAAACCCACCTACGGCGGACCGTGGGTGATCAAGTCCTCTCCATAGAGAAATTCACGACGGTCCTCACGCAGGTCGAGGCCGTCTTGAATTCCAGACCCCTCTGCCCGATGAGCACCAACCCTGCCGACCTCGAAGTCTTATCACCGGGTCACTTTCTCACGATGGAACCGATCGTCTCCGTTCCCACTCAAGACGTGACTCCGTTACCGATGAATCGTCTGAATCGATGGCAACTCGTCACAAATACACCAGGACTTCTGGAAGCGCTGGCATCAGGAGTATCTCCATACGCTGCAACAGCGTCCTAAATGGTAGACTTCCGTCAACCCGCTCGGTATCGGTGCGTTGGTCCTCCTCAAGGACGCCAACATGCCTCCTCTGCGTTGGAGGCGAGGACGAGTGGAGGCGCTGCATCCGGGCAGCGACGGCGTCCCGCGTGTCGCCACGGTGCGGGTGGCGGACGACACGATCACGCGCCCCCTAGTGAAGCTATGCCCCCTGCCGATGGGCCCTGCTCCACAGGCGACCGATTCAGATCGCTAGTAAAATACAACTCGTTGTATTTTGGTGGGCGGTATGTTTGGCGCTCACCAAACTGTAGATAGATGCATGTATCATACTCATTAGTTTAGTCTCGTTCTTACTCGTTGTACATAGTAGTCTTCGCATACCTAGTATTAAGTATTTTGGTGACTCGCGCGAAACGTCGGCGGATCGCGATCAACGCGGAATCGATATTTGCGCGACTCACCAATCGGTACTGCCCTCGCTCACCCCACGAGGGCATCCGCCTGAAGAACAAGTACTCGCTCGCGACACTGTTCCAGGGCCGCGAGCACTCAGCACTCATCGTTACGACGTCTCGGAGCACAGAGGCTTTCGCTAATATTCGGAGTCGCGAGATCACCAGCCCGCTCCCTGATAGTGCGATCGCCTACTTTCTCGGCCTGCTTGTTTGCTGCTTTTATCTGCTTTCTCCTGCTTGCTTGCTGCCTGCCTTTGCTTGCTGCCTGCCTTGCATTTGCCTTGCTTGCTGCCCTGCTTGCGCTGCTGCACGAGCCCGATTGTGACCGAGAGACGAAGCATCCAGGAGTCGACGGCACAACGAACGGTGAGTCGCATTTGCTTAACTTAATTCGCTTTGGGTAGACTTTACACACACCCCCTGATCCTTCGAGCTTCGCTTTATCGCAAATCCGGGTACGGCTCTATCGCCCCCCGAGCAACTTTCAAGAGAAAATGGGATTATAAGCTATCTAATGACGTATTAATCATTACTCTACGATTATTAGTTTCGAAGATATAAACGTTCAAAGTGTGACATGTTGCATCTGTGCTCCCAATATGTTACCCCTACTTACTGTTGACAAAGACGTAGTTCTACGTCAAATTTTACGAAACTTGTAACAACTCATCACTTCTTAAATAACAATAACGATAATAAGTTACTTTTTCCAATAGGTAACGAGTAACAATAACAAGTTACTTTTTTCAAAAAGAATAACGAGTTACGGTAACGATGAGTTACTTCTTTCAACGAGTAATGAGTAACGGTAACAATTTACTTCTTTCAATAAGAATAACGAGTTATATACGGTAACGTTGAGTTACTTTTTCAATGAGTAACGAATTACGGTAACAAGTTCAAACATAACTTTCCCTGATATTATATTATTAATTAATATATACCCTGATGTTCCGGATTCGTCGTTACTCCGGAATGTAAGTTCTATTCAAACGTTTGCGTATGACAACAGTGTGTACGGCTATCACGTGTTCCCGTGGCACCGACAATAGGATCACGCGCGAGCCATGCTTCCGCATACCGGCGCCGCTGCCGAATTCGGTTTCTCGCGTGTTATGCGAAGATCAGGCGAGTTCAATTCAAGCTCGACGGCCCTTTGAGACAGACCTATCCAAGCCAACACGCCGATCGGGACTATGTCCGAACAGTAACGCGTATACGTGCCGACGAACTATCGTCAAACGAAACCGGCCTTCCGTAATTTGAGAGCGAGCTGGGCGCAAGTGAAATGGCTCTCCTCGAAGGTCTCAAGGCTTGATCTCAGCGATGCGTCGTGCGTCCACGCTATAGCGCGCTCAAGAACTCCCTTGATCGCGCGCTCAAGATCTCCGTTCGATTCAAACCACGCCTGAAGATCTCCGTTCGGTACTCGTGTTCCGGTTGCCCGGGTCGTTGGCCCGTTGGAGCAATCTGATTCAAACTGTATAAAGCTCTTTGTTGAAATATACTGCTGTTTAAGCCAAGCTCGGGAGTGCGTTATTTGAGTGTCCCGGTGAGCCGTCGACCCTTCTGCTAATGGTGTCCCAGACATCCTCACACAAATCCTAAACACTGATATTAAATTATTAATTTATGTATACCCTAAAAAGGGGTGTGTGTACGTTCCCTCATTTGCTAAATTGCTAAGAAGTGACTCAAAAGACCAGAGGAGGAGTGTTTGCGTCTCCTCAATGCAAATTAAAGCGAAATAGCGACTCACCATTCGGTCAGCCGTCGTTTCCTGAAGGGATTCGTCTTTCTCTAGGCGAAGCTCGTAAAGGCAGGCGTAAGCAGGCAAAGCAGGCAAAGCAGACGCAAGCAAGCAAAGCAGGCAAGGCAGACGAGCACAAGCAGGCAAGATCAGGCAGAGATCGCAATCCCGAAGGAGCGAGCACTATAATGGCCTCCGGAGGTTCGAGTGTGCACGTAGAGGTGTGCACCCCGAGATTTTGTTTTGATGAGTGACGAGCAAGTCCTGCAACTCGTGTCGCAAGCGAGTACTTGCTCTTCCCTTCCATGACGGGTGTCCTCGTGGGGTGTACGATGGCAGCACCGATTAGTGAGTCGCAAAAATATCGATAACACGATCCGATTGCGATCTGCCGACGTTTCGCGCGAGTCACTAAAAATATTGATTTATCGGTAATGTACCGAGTAAAGAGCATTGCCAGCTCATGGTAAAGCCCAATGGCAAGTACGCGAAATGACTACCGAATGAGAATATTAACGCAAATAATACTAACGACTAATGAAATATACTGAAACTAACACCTACTATATACAGAGGCAAGCGCCAAACATACCGCCCACCAAAATACAAGGTTTTTTCTAAGCTTGATTAGTATTGACGAGTATTTGCACACTTTGCAGCAACGACCAAAGTGATTAAAATCGTCGTCTAATACCATGGGTCTAAACCCATCCGGTGAATTGTCCATTGGCAAGGGACTGTCCTCACTGTGGCGACCCGAGAGATACCGTCACGACCCGGGTGTAGCTCTACGATTCGCCTTTGTCTCCACTGTAAGGGAAGGGCGTTTTCGTTTTTTAATAAGACCAACGTGTCCTTTTGCACCGTATTAGACGACGATTTTAACCATTTTGGTCGTTGCTGCAGAGTGTGCAAATACTTGTCATGCCAACGCTTCCAAAATTGTTGGTGCATGTGTTAAACCAGTTGCCATCGATCAAGTCTATTTATCGGTACCGAATCTAGATCAGGATACGGAACAGTCACGAGGGGTTCCAAGGTAAGGAAGTGTCCCGGAAGAGTACCCCGAGGTCGTTAGAATCGGAACTAGTAGGGCATAGGGACCTGGAGTTGAGGATGGCTTCTATCTGCGTTATAAGTGTGCTAAATTCCTCGACAGTGAGAATCTGCACTCCCATCACGCGTTTTAGATTGCACGGAAAAAAATTTTAAGTTAAAATCACCTGAAACTGCCAGGCCAAAATAGCCTTGGTCTTGTCAAGCTGGTGCGGCCCGACGGTAAAGTAATTTTTACGGCGCTTTTCAGTTGTCGTTGTTTACTATTTCGGTTGTTTTAACCAAACAGCTGTCCTGCCGAAATTACCGTGCGGACCGGCATATGTGACCGTTTTAGTAAGCACATACGTAAGTTCGTCTCTCAATCGTCGCTCATATTGTGATTTGTGATTGTGAATTGTGTTGTTGTGCGTAATATAAGTTAACAAATACATTGAGTCTGTTTGAAGAAACAATGGACAATTTTACAGTGCAAATATTGAAGGAGTGGAAATTTGATAATTTTATACAACGATTTCAAAGTAAGTGCATATTTTTCTTTAATATTCAAAGTTCTTATTATTACAATTATGCAAAAAATCATGACTTGAGTTGTATACTCGATACGAGAAAAGTATATAATTTGATTATTGAGAACTAAGAATTTTGATAACTTGCAAACATAACCTGCTATATATATATATATATATACATATTTGTTGATTTCAGTACATTAGAAATTCTGAATGTACACATGTATACATATTTGCTATATGTATACATATTCGCTGACTTCAGTGGAACAGAAATATATTTCTTCAATAAATGTTGTCAATCATATATGCTTTCATTCATAATTTCTGCATAATTTATGCATATACTATAGTCCGATATTAATCATATAGTCTTGATCTTAATGGCAATAAAAAAGTGATTAAATTTTCAAGAAATTTTTGACAGCGTTTCAAATATAACTAATATTTTTAATATTCAGTACAGTTTTATCTTTGTTTTATGAAACGTATGTATATATGTACACACACACACACACACACACACACACACACACACACACACACACGCACGCACGCACGCACGCACGCACGCACGCACGCACGCACGCACGCACGCACGCGCGCGCGCGCACATATACACACATATTTATATATATATATATATATATATATATGTATATATATGTATAATATATGTGCACATTCTTGATTATATACACTCTTCATATTATGTAGCGGCGGGAATAGATGAAGAAATTTTTGATACGTTGGATGATGACGAAATGTTAAAAAAAATTTTTAACGAAACGGAATTTGGATTCGAAAAAAAATTCAAAATTAGAATGAAAAAATGGAAGGAGAGTCTCGTATCACTCAATAATATTCTTTTATCTTCGCCTACAATAACGTCTGTCGAAGTATTGTCAAACGATCATCAATCTCCAAATTCCTCACAATTACTAACGTTAACACCAATAACTGATTCTGCACGAAATGACCAATACGTCTTAAATGTTTCTGATGTTTTTCGTAAGTCGTTTCTTTGCTTTATTATTTATTGTACAGTGTAGGTTTCTATACGATTTTATTGCGTTGTTTGTTACCTCCTTCTAAGGCTAGTTATGTATTAAAATTTTTATTTATATAAATTATTTCGATTACGTTTGAAAAAGTATTCTATTTTTAAAACAATTTTTTAATCGTTTAACATTATGTAGAGCAATTCTTGAAATTTACTATTTTTATGAATTTAAAAGATACTTA